GGATCCAGTTTTTACGGTAAAGGATGTATCCTGGTTTCATTGATCTGGCCTCATTATTGTGATGTGTAGTTTACGTGGATTTAATAGTAGGCTACCGCGTAGTTTAGCAAAGTGATCGATCTCCCAGCTAATGCTGTCTGCGTAGTATTTTGTAACGTAACGCCCCAAATAGCGCCCGTCTGTTAAACGCTATCGATTCAAACGGCAGCGTTTTATTAATATTTAGTTTCAAGCTCTCGTCCTTAGTAAAAACAAAACTAGTGGAAAGGGAAATGCTCCCAGGGGAAGCTGATCCATAGGTGCTGGGAGTGGGACATCTCGCTCCCTCTCTGCAGCGGTGTGAGCCGCGGTCTGTGTGAACGCCGCTCCGCAGTTTAATGCAGGGCCGTAGCTGTGTTTTTAACGGGCCTAAAATGATATTTAAAATGATTCACTTTTAACTAATGTAATACTTGTTTTGTTGCTTGAGAAGCTTGTGGAAATAGTGTAGGTTTGTTTTAGTATAGTTTTAGGGAAACAAAAGTTAGGGGGGCAGCTGGGGGGGCAAGACTCTACAGTGGGGGGGGGGGGGGCAGCTGCCCCCCTTGCCCCCCCGTAGATCCGCCCCTGCTCCTCCCCCATTTCCACAAGGCTTTCATGAAGGGATTATTCTGCTTCGTAGTGTTGAGACAATATAATTAAATATTAAAAGGAGGTTTTGTGGCAATATTTTCTCACGTGAATTGTTTAGTTTACTGAGGTAGAATGGATGGTGAAACAAAAAGACGAATACATTTTCCATCATGCCCACATCCTTTATTTCTCTTACAATGAACAGATGACACGGAGGAAACTGAATGCTTTGCTTTTCCCAGTAGACGAGAGGAGGAACACTGACTCTTGTAAAGTATTGATATGAGTTACAAAAACATCATTCACAAAAATAGATTTGAGTTTTTGGACGTGTGATTGCATTTTATGCTGAGAACTGACATCAGGTGGTAATGTAGGACGAGGTTTGGCCTTTAAGCAGTTCAAAGCAAGAAAGCTGTTGAAGCGTCTGGTCGCTGCGGGCAAAAAACACACCACCTTTTCAAACTGTAATATTAATAAAGACTGAATTTCCCTTTTACAGAAGCAGCTTCCACAGGTTTTATTCAGCCAATAAATACATCCTTTCTATCCCTTACACAGTTCTTCAATTTCACGGTGTTTGCACTAAATACAGCCAAGAGCAACAGTAACAAAAAAAAAACACAAGAAAGGAACAAAATACAAAAGAATCTGACAATCCAAACACTGGTGAGTTGGGAGTGTGTGTTGAAATAGATCATCTGTGTGTTCACTTAGACGTACATGGAAAACAACACAAGTGATGACAGATTTTTGGGAAAACCAGCCATTAATCCCTTATAATTCCAATTTCAAATCAAGTTGTATTTATATAGCATATTTATAAACTATTTTTGGTCGAGCCAAAGTGCTGTACATAAAATAAAATTAGTCTACAGTAGAGACACTTTACAGCAAATACAACAGCACAGATTGTTCAGAATATCAGTATGAGAAAAACGACACCCTCTGTCCTTAGACCCTCTGTCCTTAGACCCTCTATCCTTAGACCCTCACATCGTACAAGGAAAAACTTCCAGAGAAAACCCACAGTTTAAGGGGAAAAAATGGGAGAAACCTCAGGGAGAGCAACGGAGGAGGGATCCCTCTCCCAGGACGGACAGACGTGCAATAGATGCCGTGTGTAAATCGAAGAGATAATACATTTTACAGCATATAGACCGAATGTTAGGAAATACATGTGTCTGTAATAAGAAGATGAATCCACGAGGATGTCAGCTACAATTTACCCAGAAAACACTAACTGAGACATTGAGGAGTAAAAAATACCCACACCGTACAAAACAAGTGAAGCAAAAGGCAGTAAGACAACACTGAGTCAAGTGTGTGAACATGTACATGTGCAGAATGATCAAATACAGTACAAAGCACACAGTAATCCTGCGTGTTACACGACACACAAAGCAACACAAGAGACACAAGCACACTGTAAAGAGTTCTCACATCATACAAACCCCCATAAAGACGGTAAAGCATTTCAGCTGAAAGGCTCTGCTGCTGTTTTCCTATTGTTTTATTTGAAGCCACAAGATAAACAAGGCCTGACATATCAAATATACCTTGTGGCTTCGTACAGATCTCACTGTATCGTGTTCAAAGTAAAAAGTCCTTCTACAAAAATACTTCTTTTTTTTTTTGCTGTGTAAACTTTTGCAACCAAAGGCACTATCTTATCTTCCACCTGTTCTGATATGAAACATGCAGCGCGATCCATGCTCGGATCACTATTTAATTGATCTTGACTCTAATACTGGCATTCATCTACAAACAACAACCCGACTCCTGGATTGATGTTATGGCAAAATACTGAAAAACACTGCCTCTTGTCACCATGTAATGTGCTCTTCTCCTTGCTACACAATACTGCGCCCCATGAAAATGCTGCCCTCAAAACATACAGTTTAAAAAAGTTCATATTTGGAGGAGATGGGGGGGCAACAATAGCTGCAGTCTCCAGGGTTACCCGATGTAAGTCAGTAACTGCAGTTTGTGCGTTAAAACACAAAGGTCCATAAATGCTAATAGTCAATAGTCATAGCAACACAACAAGCATTAAAACAAAAATATTCCCTTTGGAAATCTTTTCCTTTAAATACAGAGGCCGACCTGTGTTCATGCAGCTGGGATGATTTTTAAAAGAATGTAGAAACTCCAGTTGTGTGCCTCAAAGTAAGACAAGCTGCTGTGCTTATAAGACAACGCCATGCTGAAACTGGTAAATAAAACAAGCTGCTAAGGAGTTGTCTGAAATGTTTCTATTGATATAATCTAATGCACTTCTCCGCTTCAAACGATTGCACCAGGTCTGAAGAAGCAGTAGGGATTGTTGTTAAGGTAACATATGAGCATCCTCTATAAGGGTCTGGTCAGACAGAGTGCTTTTTGCAGGTTTCAAAACACACGGTGCACCTCGTTGCCTTTTTTTATAAAAGCATACAATTAAAAATGATTGTTGTTGTTGCTACGCCTCCACTGGATCCCCCGCCTTAGCCTTAATTTGTCTCTGAGCCTAGCAAACTCTAAAAATGTTAACCTTTAAAAAAAAATGTAATTAGTTAGCGAGTTGTTAGCTAGCTACCTTACCTATCCTAATAGACAGGCATAGTAGTATAGAGATTGCTTCCAGTAAAACCAGTTAAAATTAGTTATCAAACAAGCATCTTGTGGATTGATTGAATTTAACAATGCTAACGGTTCACTTTTGATAGCTAATGCTAACTGGCTAAAATGTATCGGCTTAACAAATGGGTTGAGTTAGCAAATAGATAGTTAGCTGCATTGAGCTAGATAGCTAAATAAAACAAGCTGCAAAATAGTTTCTATTAATATTCTCCAATCTGAAACGTATATGAATTATCAAGCAAGCAACGCTAACTGGCTAAACAGGTTAACAAATGGGTTGAGTAAGCTAACAGTCAGCACAGTTAGCTTCATTGAGCTAGGTTGCTAACATTGACACAACCACAGAAGCCCCGCCTCTTAATTCATACGATTAAACAACTAGGGTGAACCAGAGCCCTAGAGAGATATAGTATCTCTAGGGTGAACATTTGCAGTGCTTTACTGTTCTGAGTTCAAGTTCTTCATCAACAACAGTACTGCAAAAAGCGCTGTGTCTGATCCCGTCCTAATCTGTGTTTGAGTTATAACATATTTCCTCCAGGTTCTCATGTTGATAGTCATTGGAATGCATTTTAAAAAACATACATTAAATCCCTTTCAAGCCTCACATAAGCATTGCACAAAGTGTAATAAATAAGATGACAACTAGTGCAACTAACACTTACAACTAATCTAATAACACCTTGTTTTAACTAACTGCAAACATTTCCCTGTCGCCTGCATCTGGGTTGGTGTTGCACCAAATACAGTTTGGCTCTGTGACATCACATCCTGCTACGTATGACATCACAAATGACAGGTGCTGCATGACATCAACGTTTTGAGTTAAGGTCTACACTGAATGTACAACATGTAAAAACACACATCCTGTTTTCCACAATCCATATCTGTGTTTCTTAATTGTGTGCTTCTTGTTATCTTTATGATTTAAAAAAGAAAAACAACAATGGATATTAACCTGTCTCCACCTCATTAATGTGCTTCCTTAGAGCACTGAGTGTCCTTGATCATGTGTACTAGGGCTGCACAATTCATCAAAATGTAATCAAAATTGCAATTTGGACTAGTCTAATATTCAAATTGCAGGAAGAACAACTTTTGTTAAAAGGCCAAATATGTGTTAAATACAATTTTTGCTGAAGTATTGCGAAGCTGCAGAGATATCCGGGCCTAAAAAATGGTTTACTACAGAACCAATTACTTCTTGTAGATAGCTGTCATTGGTATGTATTTCTAAACACATTTCATGCTTTACATAAGCATCACACTTCGTTATGGACAATATTAAATAATTGATATGACAACTAGCGCATCTAACAAACTAATTTTGAATGGCCTACGTACTTCTTAACTCATCCGCTCACCAATATCGTGAATCAGATCGCAAAAATGTAATATTGGTCAAAATAATAGCAATTCTCTTTTTCTTCTTACCCCCAGTTTCCACTGGGTCCGTCTGCGTGGCGTCACGTCTGCGTGGCGTCACGGCTGAGTCGCGGTTTTGGTCCGACCTCCTCTAGCGCCATAACCCACCGGACGCGTCCCAGAAGTGTTTCAGAAGCGTAGCGTCGTGCGTGCAGGCTCGCAGTTTTGTTATTGATTCGGGCATCCTGGACATTTGTACTTCTACAAGAAAGTAAGTAGGCTACGTAGTTAAATGTTTTATTTTTGTGTCTGTTTAAATTGTGTTTATTGTTGTTATACATTTCCTATTTTGTTGTGTTGTAGTCTACAGACACAGTTAATAATAATTGTAATAGTCCACTTCCATGATGAAAACCTCGTCGTCCATTGTGCGTATCGTAGTGGAGGTGTTGTGATGAAGGAGGGGGGTCTGCTAAATTAGTATATGTGGGGGATGGGCCTGGCCCGGATGCTCACCTTTCCACTTCCTGCGAGGGGGGGCTGCCTGCCCGACCTTATGTTACGGCTGCGGCGCGGCAAAAATAGGCTTCATCCTAATTTTAGAGAAGCGCTGCGCCGAGCCGCTTCTGGGACGCGTCTGAGCCGTAACGCGGCGCGTGTGGTGGAATAGCACCCATTGACTAGAGTGGCCGCGATCCTTACAACCGCCGCGGCGCAGCCGTAACGCGGCGCAGACGGACCCGGTGGAAACTGGGGGTAAGTTGTGCAGCCCTAATGTGTACATTCAGTGTAGGTCATACAAGATTGGAGGACACAAAGCCCAGAACAAGGGGAGGTGTGTCTGCTGTTGGAGTAAAAGTATAAAGACACATTAAAAAAAGCACGTTCTGTGTGTGTGTCACTCATTGAGGATGGAGTCCGGCTTGTCGTATCCAAAGAGTCTGAAGTCGGGTTCGTACAGCTTGTACAGTTCTTTGCGGGTCTCCAGGGGCACGGTGTTGAACCAGTCCGCCTCCAAGGTGCTGGCCGTGAAGTTCCTACGGGATGTGGGGAACTCCACCACGTTGTCCACCTTCAGCTGGCGCAGCAGATGCTCGGCGTCCTCCTCCGCCGTCTCCAGATGGCCCACGAAGTCATACTGGATCTGGCACGGGTGGCAGAGGCGGTACACCTGCCTCCAGTGCTCGTTGAAGGGCATCTCCTTCTCCGTCTGCGGGTCCAGGAGGTACTGCAGGAAGTTGGGGAAGGACGGGTGGATGCCCATGCCGAACGCCTCGTCCACGGAGGCGGGAGGCGTCGGCTGGTTGGCGTAGCGACGCAGCATGACCTGGGCGAAGCGCAGGTAGAAAATTTGCGTTGGGCAGCTCAAATTTGTTCCGGTAGGCGGAGATGAGACGCACAAAGGGGTCACGAACGAAGATGAACTTGGTGTACTTCTTCAGCTTCACCTTCAAAAAGAATAAGAATTGTATTAATGCATAACATATATTCATTTGTATATATTATGTATTTAATTCCCAAGGACCATGCATACAAATACATTAATCTCAGAAAAGAGAAGAGATTAATTATGCCAGATTTGAGTTATAGCTAATTTCCATCAGTCCACTCCTTACACAAACAGGGGATTTAATCGAAAAGGGGCCCTATTATGCTTTTTGGAGCTTCTCTTTACTGTAGTGCGTTTGAGTGCATGTAAATGGTCTTCAAAGTCTAAAATCCCAAAGTTTCTCTCCAAAAATAATAAATACATAAATACACTTTCTCTAAAAATACAACTGACCACCAAGAATGAATAAAAGCAAGCTGTTGTGATAATATTATGATGTTTATTTATTAATTATTTTATTCTGATTTAATGAGTGTTCAATTATGTTTTACTGTTTTTAACCTGATTGAATTGTGTTGTGTAATTGTGTTAAAGTGATAATTTCTTATTATGCAAAAAGAAATACATGGTGGAGGCTAGGGATGCTCCGATCGCCAATTTCGGGGCCGATCGCCGATCACCGATCGCCGGAATCAGTATCGGCCGATACCGATCGCCGATCCGATCGAGTGGGCGGGGCCTAAATGGAAGATTTCAACATCACTTTAAATCTTCCATTTAAAATGATGTTTAAAACTGAGTTAATGGGGCTCATTCAATGGAGCTTCCACAAACAACAATCAACTTAATTATTACATTCAAATGATGTACATTATTCAAGTTTACATTCACTTTGGATAATAACACGGGAGAAATTAGCGGAAGCGCTCTCTTTTCCTCTCTCCCTCTCTCTCTCCCCCCTCTCTCCCTCTCCTGACAACCTGTCAGTATCTCATGCAGCTCACTGATCCAGTAATGAGTGACCCGACAATGAAGAATACATATATTTATAATAACTAGTTTAGCTTGTTCCAGAGGTAGATAAAATAGCTAAGTGTGTTAGGTCTAACTCTTACGGTACGTCCACACAGCAGCTTTTCAAAAATCTTGAAAATCTTGGAGCTGGGCGTGTCTGAAAGCTTGGGGATTTTTTGCGAGCAACGCGACCAACAACCAATCACATGAATCTCCCGCCCCCGACATACAAAGCAAAAAACCCCGGGGATTTTATGCGAGCAATATATATATATATAAACTCCCCAAACAGGCGAAAACTTACCAGTTTCACCCACTGTCTCTGCCACCTCCCTCCATGCCTGGTTCCTCCGGTTTGTATCCCGTTAATAGTTCTGGTCGTAAAGAACCGGGTGATTTGCTACCGTTTGCTACCGTAATTTCTCGTTTGGAATATGAGGAAATGAACTGCGGTCTGGTTCTCCCTGTGTGTGTGTTTCGCTGCGCTTACCGGTCCGGCGGGCGGAGCTGCAGGATTTCTGCTTCACACACGTTGCATATCTATGGGCATAGATATGTCTCATAATTATTTGTGTGAACATAAAAATAATTTGTGTGTAAATATGTGATTTGTAAATGTAAAACAACATCCACAAATGCATTTAAAAGATTTGCAAACTCACAAATACATTTGCAAGTGTAAAACGGATCTGCAAATACGCTAAATATGTTCACAAATAAAAAAAAGATCTGTGAATATCTCTTTAACATTTACACCTTTCGATCAGGCATTTGTGAATCCATTTTGTATTTGTGGACCAAAAATGCGCTTGCGGATCTCAAATCTCTGTTCACGGATCTCAAATCTCTGTTCGCGGATCGTCTTTTTACACACACGGAATTTTGAGACATATTTTCCGCCGGTCTCGGCTAAAATCTACTCGTGTCACTCGGTTATTTTCGGAAACCACGTGATGGCCCGCTGTTGACGACATTTCCGCATGATTTCAAAGTAAGAGCATGATGGTTTGTTTAATGCTCTGTTTTTGTATTATAATGAACAGCGGAACGTTAGATGCATTATTCATCACCATCACCATCATCATCATGTTATAGTGATACAGTTAGTTTGTGTTATTGGTTCAATATAGCATATATCGAGCACTTTCGTTGATGTTGAAGTGCAGGCTATACGCCACTTTCGGGTCCCGGGGGAGCAGCTGGCAGCGAAGCAGCCCAGATAAAACTCTTTCTTCATTGTTTGTTGTGTATTCAGTCAAGCGGGTCGAAGTTACAAAGCACTTCACATCTTATTAATCGGCCTAATTGTACCTTACCAGTGCAGTAATAAAGTAATCTGTAGAAAAGCACCGTATTTAGGTCAGGGTTATGGTGATAAAGAATGCATCTAACGTTCCGCTGTTCATTATAATACAAAAACAGAGCATTAAACAAACCATCATGCTCTTACTTTGAAATCATGCGGAAATGTCGCCATCAGCTGGCCATCACGTGGTTTCCGAAAATAACCGAGTGACACGAGTATATTTTAGCCGAGACCGGCGGAAAATATGTCTCAAAATTCCGTGTGTGTAAAAAGACGATCCGCGAACAGAGATTTGAGATCCGTGAACAGAGATTTGAGATCCGCAAGCGCATTTTTGGTCCACAAATACAAAATGGATCCACAAATGCCTGATCGAAAGGTGTAAATGTTAAAGAGATATTCACAGATCTTTTTTTTATTTGTGAACATATTTAGCGTATTTGCAGATCCGTTTTACACTTGCAAATGTATTTGTGAGTTTGCAAATCTTTTAAATGCATTTGTGGATGTTGTTTTACATTTACAAATCACATATTTACACACAAATTATTTTTATGTTCACACAAATAATTATGAGACATATCTATGCCCATACTTACCGCTATTTTACTGTCTTTTTCGGACACCTTAAAATAATGCCAGACCGGTGAAGCCATTTTGGCGAGCATGTTTTGCCGCACACAGAGAAAAGTGTCATGTATTTTACATCATGCGATCGGCTCTCGCGATCGGCATGTTTAGAGAGCACCGATCGATCGGTAGAGAGTGAGTATCGGCCGATATCGATCGGTGACCGATCGATCCCTAGTGGAGGCCATTGAAATAAAAACAATTCATTTACAGAAACAATTGTTTACCGTTTGGTGAGAGACCTTTAGTAAATAATGACTTTTCTTTGCTGTAGCCGCAGAAACACAGTGGTTCAGATTGGGTTTAATTTGTTTACTTGACCTCTGTAGTTCCAACAAAGCACTTCTCTTAGAGACACATTGATTATTCTGCTGGCACATTAATACTACTTAAGTGGGAGCCGACAACAGCCTCTGCTTATGCAAATTGGACCAGAGAAGCACCGGCACATTTAAGCTGCAGCCACACGAGGACGGTAACGGTCGTATCCGCTACAGTTCTCTATCAGATAGACGGTTCGGCCACACGAGGCCGACAGGGAAACGCAGATAACGATAACGGGTCCCAAGGTGGGTAGATCTGCGGACGAAACGCTCTGGGGGGGCAAACGGCTCCGTGTCTACGCCCTATAACGATCATTTCCTGATAACGATGACGCAATAGCCCCAGTGTTTCGAGCCAGGTCCCGGTATCTCGTAGGACAGCGCATCCAGCAGGAGCTTCCAGCTAGATTTGATCGATATGGACATGAACGCGAGTGAAGTCTAATCGGACAGGAGAGGAGACACGCAGCTCTGCATGATAACCTGCAGCTCGATGAGCGGAACAAAACACACACTTCAAGTTAGATCATCACCCTTAGCAATTTTAATGACCTCTCAAACTACCTAAACTAGTTATAAATAGGTTTATTTTTACTGTCGAGTCACTCATTACTGGATCAGCAGCTGCATGAGACCACGATACTGACGGGCTGTCAGGAGAGGGGGAGGAAAAGAGAGGCTCCGTCCTCCGTGTATTATTCTTATATTATTATATAGAGTCGTTATTCATTTGTTTTAAAGCTCAATAAATAACAAAGAAGAAATTTGACCATTTGTTCGGAAGATTTAAACTTTAACGGAATTGTTGATCGGCGAAACCCCATCTCTGCTGCTAAATCCAGCGCGGAGAATAAACAGGGGCAAATAATTCCCTAACAATTAATATATTTGAACTTTTTTTATTTATTTTGATACTTTTACAACTTTTTTGAAATTACGTAAAAATGAAATAAAAACGCTACTCTAAAAATAAAACTGATGACCCAGAATGAATGAAAGCTGGCAGGTGCGACAACATGATATCAGGTGTATTATTTGTACAGACCTTCATTAGGTGCTTAGCGAACTTGCCGTAGCGTTTCCAGAACTTGTTGAAGGTGAAGTGCATGCTGCTGTTGTGCACCAGGTCTTTCGGGATGGAGAGCGGGTCTCTCTGAGGAACGCCGTCCCGCAGCAGACTCTCACTCAGGACGATCATGAGGCGCTTCCAGTTACTGCACGCCACCTGAGAGAGGAACAGGGAAAATCTGACGTAAATACTCAGTAGAGGGGTGTGGGCGGAAAGTGGGAAGAAATAGGTGGTATTATGTCAGCTTTTCGGTAACCCTAACCCTAACTGGCAACTGTGTCCGGAAAGTGTTTTAGGTCGTGTAAAAATTGAAGAAATTCCAGTTAAAAATTCTCTACATTTATTATAAAAAAACTAAATGATTTAAATCAAAAGAAAGTCCCATCAATAGACTTGTGCATAACGCAAAAAAATAATGAATAGACATTCCCTCAGCTTTAGGCTTACATATATTCTCATATAAAATAGAAATTAATAAAAACTGAATAAACAAAAAACTGATTATTGCAAATAAAAAAACAAACAGTAAATATACAAATATTAACAATAGAAAGATAAATGAGAAAACACCATAATAGACGGACCTACTAAATACAGTACAAACGTAAGAAATATTAATTATGTGTGCAAAGTAGTTGTAGTTTTAAATATACTTTTTGTGTGTTGTATAAATTAAATGTTTGCAAAGCACACAGGCATTTGCGCACCTTGGGAACGTAGCAGTAGATGATGCCGTGCCGGTCGTCCACGATGAGGTGATCCAGCTCCTTGTTGGGAATGTCGTCAAAGGAGCGGTTTTTGCCAGGAAACACAACGCTGTCATTAGCGCACATCTCCTGAAGTAATCTCCGCCGCTGCTCCTGGTGTTGGTGAGGCACAGAAAGGTTTTTATTATTAGTGGTGCAGCTTTTTTTCATGGCCATAATTTGGACTGGAGCTGGAATTAATGATGGTTCTGTTGCTATTTAAGTATGCCAGTGAGCGAGCTGCAGGCTGACCTGCATACTTAAATACTATTTATGAATACTGAAATATTATCTATTAATTATTGTACATCACTAGGGATGGGTATCGTTTGAAATTTATCGATTCCGATTTCGATTCCGGTTCTGCTTATCGATTCCGGTTCTTATCGATTCCCCGTTTCGATTCAAAAATTGTAAAATAAAGAGGTCAAACGTTTAGATAACAAAAATATATTTATTCTTAAAAGCTTTAACTGAAATTGTTACTAAAAAATATACATGCAATACAAATGTATTGCACAATAGCTGTGCTTTATTTTAACTGAGCTATGCCTGTGGCAAGCTATTAACAGGCATTACACTTTGCCTTTTATTTTTATTTTTTAGTGTAGTGGAGCCTCACTTCAGAGTGTTTACCGCGACCTATCTTTGGTGTTATGAAGTGACTGAGCTCGTGAAATGTCTACGGGAGGGCGGGGGAGCATCGCTGCGGGGCAACTGTGGACCTCTGTCGCCTGTCAGCGCAATTTATATGATGCCGTTTAAAAAAATGAAGGGCGGTGCCGGCCGTCAGCGTACCGAGCCGGCCGTCAACGGCCCGCTGACGACCGGCCGTTCTGTGATTCTCCAGGTCCGCCCTGTATTCCACCGGGTCACCGCAACACCGCGGAGCAGACGGACCCGCTGGAATACAGGGTCTACCGCGTTTAGGAACCGTTAAGCAGAACCGAAATTGTGTATTTTGTATGGGTACCCGGTACCCGGCATTTTCTTATCGGTTCTCATCTGGAACCGAGTTTCGGTTCCCAACCCTATACATCACTGGCATATGAATTTGATTTTAAACCTTCCCTGCAGTGTGAACAATTCAAATGCATCCAATAAACCCAGCCAACTTTAATAATTAAACATTTACTACTACGGTAGGCTACTGTTCATTGTTTTGTATTTATTTAATCAATTTTGTATATAGTAATTTTATAATTATTCAGTATCCTTATTTTAGTCCACCAACACCCCCCCCCCCCATACATTCAATCCATGAATCCAGTCACACCTGAAAGGCCAACACTCTTGAATCATTAAAAAAGAAATCTCTCAAAACTCACTTTTTGCTTTCAATCTCTAATCAACAACAACAACAACAACAACCACACTTTACTTGCACTTGGATTAGGACTACTGTTTATTTATTTTTTGTTTTCTTTGTACGGTTTCTGTTTCTGATTGTATGTAAAGCGTATTTGAGCTCCAGGAAAAGCGCTATTAAAAATGATATGTATTATTATTATTATAATTTAAAGTCAACTTTATAGTCAATCTTTCCGTTTGTGTGTACAGACAGAGAGATCAAAATACCGTTTCCCACAATCCCGAATACAAATATGTATAAAATATGTAAATCCTATATATACACAACCAACAGACACATTTACACATGTGCACACATTAAGAAAAAAGCCGAACAATCAATATATACAAAATAACAGTCAATTCAATATCTTTGGGATATATAATGATAAATTCAGATATCCACCTGTCTCTCTCGGAGCTCGGCTGCCACAGGACTCAGGTGGATCTTCCACTCCCTCCGTGGAATGTACCGCTCCTCGGCCTTCTCTGATTGGTTACCAGAGTCGGCGGGGGCGGGATCAGTGGGTTCTCCGGTGCCCGGCTCCAGGAACTGGTTGACGAAGGCGTCAATGTCGGACAGGAAAGATGGCGTCCGCGAGGTGTGAGGCTGCTGGCGGGGGGGAGGGGGCGGGGGGATCCTGGGGCCCGGGGACACGGGGGTGTGCAGGTACAGGTGAGAGGCCCCCACATCGTCCCAGTAAATGATGATGAGGAGGATCATGAAAACCGAGCCCAGGACCACGAAGATGCGGAACATCCTGGAAGTTCCCATGGCGACTGTTGAATATATATTGAAGTTTTCAAATATATACATGTAACAGTTGTAATGAATATGCAGTGGTGTTTAGTGTTAAATATTTCTTTATAAATAATTTAGTATAATCACACAAATTCTGTGTTTTCTATTTAATAATTCTGTGTTCTTTATTAATTAATTAATTGTTCAATACCTAGGTCTAGAATCAATGGGCGGAACCTCCAGAATGTATTTACTTTATTTAGGAGACTATTTTTGTGGGACTTCCCCTTTCATATTGTGTCCCTCACATTTCCTCTTCCCTTTTTGTAAATGTTCCACGTGAGAGGAGTCAGTGTGAGGGATAACTCATTTAATACTGATTTGATGTAAATTGTCAGTGAATAAACGGAGATCGCCTCGACTGTATGCTGGTTCTGCTCTCATCCGTGAACAACACAAACACAACGCAGACACCGCTTACACACACACACATAAAACGGTCAGTCTAGGTGGCATATACAGTGTACAATCAAATGAATAGGCATGTAAATAAACACAGGTCAGTATACAGATGATACATGGATAACAAAGTACATAAATCTTCAAGATATGACGTGGGCTACTACACTTTATAATCTCCCATGGCGACTGTTACTGGCTACAGGATAACCATAGCAACTGGTAAGACTTCACAGGGGGAGCCTCTCTACAGCATGGCGGCGGCGGATTGGAGTAAGTTACCTGGGTCTTTTATTCATGCGGTCACCGGGGCAACAGATTGTTACAGGGTCACCATAGCAACAGAGTCCAGTAGCTCTCTCTCACCATGGCGATAGATATAAAGATGGAGTCTGTGGCTGGTTTGTTATCATCATGCTGCTGCTGCTGCACTGCAGGAAACTGGACATCCATGGATCGACTCTCACCTCTGCTCCATGCCTGCAGGAAGAAGTTATTTATTCCATCTTTATTTAAAGATAACATACAATGCTCATTTGCAGGTTCATATCAGTATTTAGTGTCTCTACTACATGTCTCCATGCTTTAATGTTCAAAAAGCTCTTCATTTTTCTCATACTGCCTGTGCTGCAGCACCTCTTTTCACCCTCTGTCTGAAACCAGAGCCCAGTCTGCTCTGATTGGTTAGCTGGTGTGATTGGTCAACTGCTTAGAGATGTCCCGCCCCTTAGCCTATCACATACAATATGTTGGAGCACTAGCCAATAGAAGTGCAAGTGTTACTGAAGTAAACAACGGAGTAAAATGGAGGCGTTTCAGGCTGGGATTTTAGCCCACTTACATGCACAAAAACCTATACAACACACTACTAACTCACAGTCCTCCTAGCACAATTGTTTCTGCAATCCTAGCAAAGATTTTAACATTTGGCATCAATTAATCGGTAAAACTTAGTGAGTAAAAAAAATGTAAACAGACAGCTTCAGTTTCAGTAATTACCGAGTACAAATCAATAGCGTTTTGGAGAGCAGACAAAACAAAATAATAGAAAGCAGGATTTCAAAAGCATGCCGATTATCATGCAAAAACAACAACAAAGGAAAGGCTGATATCAGAGTGAGGTTGCTCTTGCTCTCTGTTAATAAAAACATCTTGAAAACTGGAGCAATACGTGGGCAGGTCTGACATTTTATTGGCTTCAAATATTTGTACTGAACCTCCTTCACCTCTCTGAGTCGACTCTACTCCCACTCTCAGCAGTAAAATCACAAGTGCTTGTCAAAAGTTTGCATGCCAGGGGGCTCTGCATACCACAAAGTAATAACTGCTGCACTGCACAAGTATCCCGCTGTATCCATACCAGGCTTCCTATGGATTACTGTACAGCATCGGCACACTAAAATACTCGAGCTGAGGTAATAAAGGCCCCACTTTATACACCTAAAGATACGCTCTGCATGTACGAAAACACACTGAAGCTTACTGTGCTCATGCATTGCTGAAAAATGCCTATTTGTTTATAGAGCTGCAGATAAATGGCCAGTTCTACCTGTGGCTTATCTCAAACCCCAATCCATGTTTCCTAATTCCCACTTCATCTCCCGTTTTCTCCTTTCTGTGCAGTGTGAATGTCACAGGGCGTCGCTTTTCCATTCCGACACTTTTTCTAAATTCGGAGCCTCCGTGCAACAGTCCTCATATTATTCCCTCTTTCCTGGAGCTGAGAGGAGACCATTGACATGGAAAATCATCATACCCCTCTCCAGAGGCGGCAGACTACGCTCCTCTTCCTCTGTGCACACCAATGAACTCGATGCTGTGACATAACGAACATTAAATCAGGCGTTTTAAGGGGTAGAATGTTCTGTACGTTGAAAGTGAAGTACTCATTAAAAGCAGGGAAAGAAACTACTCTAGTTTTGTACAATTGAGATGAACTAGTACTTTAATAGAGTAGTTTCACTGCATACTAGTATGTGCATGAACTTACAATTCAGAGGAAACACTGCAGATCTTTAAATCAATGTTATTTTGAGATTTACTTTCAAAAATTATTATTTTTAAAATAGCAATAAAAATGCCTGTTGCAAGTTGATGCTTTCAGATGCCTTTTTTCCAGCCAACAGACCAAAATTCCATATATTTAATTCAGTTTATAGTAGGGGTGTAAGGGTTCACAGAATTCACAGTTCGGTATGTACCTCGGTTTGGGGGTCACGGTTCGATATGGGTTCGGTACAACAAGAAAAAGCAAAAAAAAGTCCCAAATGCATAATTCCAGGTTTGTTTTTTATTTATTTTGAACAGTAGTGCAAGTTTCAGTTCAAAAATAAGGAACTCTAACATTTTTAATAATTAACTTTATTACACAGTTAAAAACAAACCACAAACAGTAGCACACACACTCAGAAGGCCGTATTATCTATAATGGCTGAAGTCAAACAAAAAGGTTCAATAAGCTGTAAAACTCAAAAGAATGTCTTGAAAATATTACAAAATAAATAATAAGAAAGTGTTTCAATCACTTGCAATCACAATCAATACAAGCTGGGGTCCCCTTTTCAATAATGTACCCCCTTTGAAAAACATGTCAGCCAAGTACCCCCTGATAAAAAACTATTTGTTAGGGACAAAAAGCCTATATAAAGAGGTACAGTACAGCGATGCACCATCAGTGTCTGATTTATTAAAACAACAACCTTGTAACTGAGAAACACTTAGAGCTACATTTCAAATGTTACAATCCATCACTAAATTCATGGCAAACCAATTTTAACATCATGCAATAACACTAAGACGACATTAGTTGCATTGAACTAATCTTTTGAATAAGTTGTACTAACAATTTTGTGAGAAACATGGGCTTGTGCTTCACTGAGGGCTTTGTCATTCTGACAGGGAGGCAAACTGCAGTTATTACACTTCACGTTTTGAAATATGTACAACTTGACATTTAGCTTGAGCTGGCTTTAATACTTTCTTTATGGTATTCAAATTGGGCTCAAGTAGAACCTTTACCCATGTATTTTGCTAGTTCTGAAAGAATAATCAACATTGTGCATTAAATCATATACTGGTTTGTTTAACACCTTAATGTTTACCACATCATTCCATATTATGTTTTTTCATAGATTTGATGTCTTCGGTATTAATCTACAATGTAAAAAATAATCTAAATAAATCAAAACCTTCGAATGAGAAGGTGTGTCCAAACTTTTGACTGGTACTGTATGTGATCAAAGATTTTCAAATGCTGCAGCAACTGTCATGGGGGGGCAGTGTGTGTGCATGTGTGTGGGTGTTGTACATTCCTTCTTTTTTTACACCATAATTATTTCTCAATGTTCTTTCAATGAAACTGTCACCCTGTCATGGGGCGTGGACTCATTTGGCTTTGGTGATTGTTTTGGCATGAATTCAGTATCATTTAATTGAAATATGACTCATACCAGGTAATGATTGCACAATTGCATCTCTGTTCTCTAAGTCTACTATTGCATAATGGCGCAGCACAGCCGTTGAAAAACATATGCCAAAAGCTTCTGTTATTTATTTTGGTCTCTCGGCTTTCATGTCTATTGGCTTCTTAAAAACAGAGGGGATAAGCTGTTGAACTGCTGTTGTCTTTTGCCGGGCTCCGGTGATTGCCAAATATGGGTGATGCCTTCTGATAAGATTTAGCATGTTTGGCTTGTGTTACATTAGCATACCGCACCGCTGTCGAACAACGCCGGTGTTGTGTCAAATGATGCACCCCCGTTGTGAAATGCACCCCCTAGCCTGCCGTAAAAAGCACCCCCCCAAAAAAGATGCTTCTATTAATCCCATCCTCAAGCACTTTGGAGGGTATAGTTGTAGGACTAGTACCAATTAATGAAGCAAGTTTCCTGTATGTGACACGTTTATTGTCAGAGATAGCAAGGGGTGCATATCGTGGCAACCAGGCTGTTCATAAAAAGCACCCCCCAAAACAAAAAAAATTATATTAATCCCACCCTCAAGCACTTGATGTAAAAATAAACAATACATTGTAAAGCACAAGTATACAGACAGGACGTCACAATTAAATAAAAACATATATTAAAAAAAATTAACTGAAAAATAAGTGACGAATGAATGCAACATCCAGGATTCGACAACCCAACCATCAAAAAGACAACATAGAATAGCGTATACGTTCAAATGCGCGTTCCCGTGTCAAGGGGTGCATTTCACGACTGGGGTGCATCATTTGACACAACACCGGCACACCGTCCTCGTCCGAACCACCACTCGCACTTTATCGTTATTGTAGTCCACAGGGAACCCGAAATGTTCCCACACAGCTGATTTAAAAGAAGCAGGTGGGTCTTCTAGCTCCTTTGTGTTATCCATAGGTGTTATCTGAACTCGCAATACTAACTGTTCTTCTTCTTGTATTTTATTCGTTTTGTTGTGTTTTCTTCTTCTCCTTCATTTGTTGTTTAAGGGCGGCTGGCAAACAGCTTTTAGGCGCAATACCGCGCACTGGATTATAGTGTAGTGGATACTGCCCTGAATGACAGACTTTTTTCCCACTCGTTAAAAAAAAGGCGTATTCGTCGTGTGACTGCATGCACCGAACCGTGACGTCCGAACCGTGACGGTACGGGACGAATACAGTTACCGTTACACCCCTAGTTTATAGTGATAAGAAAATTTGAAAAAGCTGTAATACTCATATTGTAGAAGTAAAAAATGCTACACCTCGACCAACCATTGGAGTACAAATGTACTGACATATGAATGAGTTGATTATAAAGTAACCATGATCAATATCAAGGGATATTAGACTAGATTAGATTTACTAATCCCAAATTGAAAAAAATGTGTTTTGACTGCAGCATGTTAGCATGCCATTGAACATGATGAGTTAAAAATAGAATAAAAAACAACCAAACAAATCAACAGTAGAAAGATATCTCTATAGTAGCTATAGAATAAAATATGTTGAATCTGACACTATATTAGACCAACCTACTGCTAAAAATATGAACATAGGAGGACACTATATACAATGTGGAAAGCAGTTGCAGTTTTTTAATTCAATTGTAAATGGAAAATAAACCTTAAAACCATTTTTTCCGTGTTTCCATTATTTTTTCGGTATGTTTCCTACACTCGCAGTGCCAACACCATGTCAACAAGTCTCACATATAATTCAAAGTCTTGTTGCAGGCTATTAATAACCTGTTTTTCCCCTGGTTATTTCCCTCATAACTCGTCCATGCTTGTTCTGTTCATCTCCACCTCAACATACAGCAGGACAAGCGGTAAAAAGCAGCCGAGCAGCAGGATGTGCTCACCGGACAGAACAGATAAATATCCCCGGCAGGTCCGCAGCAGACCCGGGCACAATGTCGGCTTTGACGGGCAGCAGCACCGCGGGAACGGGCTGTTCGACGCTCTCTGCATGTGGAGCTTTTTAGTCACATTTACGTGGAGAACATACAGAGCATCCAAAGAAAACAACGAGATTCCTGACGTGCAGCCGCGGGTTTAATGTAGCCGTGTATCAAAGTAGTGCACAGTCAAAGAGCAACGTGCAAAAAAACTAAAATAGGCAGCATATGTTAAATTAGTTTTCATATTTCTTGTTAGTATTTAAGTTAAAAACCTCCTCACCTCTTTTTGTGTGAGCTCCCAGCGCCGCGTCATCCGCCTGTGATGCGAGACGAGTGCCCGTTTTTTTCTTCCAGGGAGATGGAGCGGGATCAAGTAGAGTATCGCGAGAGTTAGTACTTAATGTTTCTGCAGAGTGAGCTCATGAGGGGGGAAAAATCCCTTTTCTGGGTCAGCTCCAACATAGCATGTCTCAGAGTTAGAGATGATGTATGTAGACAGTCTCCCAACCCCTCCCTCCCCCTCCCTTTCTCCCCCTGTCTTCCAATATGAGCAACGTGCTGAAAATAACCTGCTGTACCTGCAAAAACAAATGTCATCTTCACTGAGAAAAAATCAGACTAAAGGAATTATAATTAGGAAATGTTGCTGTGGGGGATCTGCGTCTATTGCTGTGGCCTCAGGCTGAGCAGGCGGTTACAATCCTGTTATTTGTGAACTCTTTTCATCCTGTGACATCAAACACAGCAAGGAGCCCCTACAGAGCAGCTGATTCATTTGCACCCACCACACACACACACACACACACACACACACACACACACACACACACACACACACACACACACACACACACACACACACACACACACACACCACAGATCATTATAATCTGCATCCAATCAGCGTCACAATTTCACCCCTCTCCTTTTTTGCCTAATATAACTCTGTACCCTGGCATCAATTATACTCTGAAACACACACACACACACACACACACACACACACACACGCACACACACACACATACAGCATGAACACAGCATGAGCACATCAGATAAGAAAGCAATCTTAACAGAAGGAAGAGAAGGTGCCATCAAGATAATTTTTTCACAACATCATTTCAAAAAGATAACGGACATATTTATCATGTTTATAATCATATTACATTTTTACTTTTATATATTTTATTATTTGACGATAATGACTATGACATTGTACCATACAAAAGTGTGAAAGTATATTCAAAGGATTATATATATTAGCCCTTGTGTCTCAACACACAGAGCACAAATCTAGTATTGACTAAAGTAAGGCTTATAGTGCTTCTGATAGCAGTGCGTTGCAGTATGAGTGTTCACATCGCTGTATGCAGAGATTATACCACAAACAGGTTATTCTTAATCCCCCGCTGGCCAGCCCGTTTCACTCAATTTGAACCATCTGGTGGTTATGGCTTTGAAAAAACATCTTTCTGAAAATAGATTTATAAGCTGCAGAAATCAACGAAGTGACTATAGCCATACGGTTCAGTGAGTTATGGATGATACTGCTGGATAAACCCAGAAGGAGTTTTGAACAAACTGATTACATTTCACAGCTGACTTTAAAACATCAATACACTTTCAGTATTTGAGTTGATTTAAAGCTTATTTAAAACTTCAAATAACACGTTTTTTGGATGAAATACAGTATTTACAATCAATAGGATCAATGCAAAAAGTAAAGAGTAGTCTTTAGATCACATGTGTCAAACTCAAGGCCCGGGGGCCAAATCAGGCCCTTGGTGGATTTAATTTCGGCCCGCAGGATCATTTCTAATTACTATTAGATCTGGCCTGCCAGTATATTGCACGCACCCCTTCACTCCATCCTGAGGGTCTCCTCAGCTCAGAGCCTGAGCCCAAACATTGATGACCTTGCACCCAAGATGAGATGCCAAGTATCTGAACTAGCATCACAGAGCAGCACACTGAGTTTAATGGATGTTTCCTTCTGCACTTTCTCTCTCACGACAACAGGGCATGTTTGGTTTTCTCTTTGAGGGGAATAGTTTTGTTGAAGCTGTTGTTGGCCTGTGGAAAAATGTACTCATAAGAAATGACTCTGGAAAAGCTGCAGATAGAGCCATAAGAAATGAATGCAACTGATTATTTAATGTTTAATGTTGTTTTTATAGGCAATCATTTAAGCTTTGTTAGTTCCAGGTTTAATATGTGCAATAAGTTCATTTCAATAAGTTTTGCAATAAACATTGAACCAGTCCGGCCCTCGACTGGCACCCATTTTTTTTATTTTGGCCCACTGTGTATTTGAGTTTGACCCCCCTGCTTTAGATAAAGGGGTAATTCATGATGTTATAAAACTAATGTATAAAGATCATGATCCTTAATATGCAAAACATGTTCAACAAACTTGTATCCAATGTTTTATTCTTTATTTTGAATCTTGTGTTGGTCAATTTGGTGCCCCTAAAAATAATGTGTTTATTTTAAATAAGTTGCAAGGTGTCAAGATGACTTCTATTCATGCCAACCCCTAATCCCTCCTTAACATTAGTATATAGTAGCATGTTGTTGTTGTTGTTGTTGTTAAGATAAAGGGGTGAATCTTCTCTCTAAACGGCATTTCAAAAATATCTGCTTGCCTCTCTTGGCTTTTTTTTAAACAAAATTAAAGCTCAGACATTATTGATAAACTGTTGTGAGTCGTAGTTTCCTGTTGCCTAATGTGGGGTGAAGTCATTCTGTCCTTTTTTTTGTAAATGTGAGGTTTAAATGTATTGAAATGCGAACGACTTATGAGGTTATGTAACACTCCTATTTCTGTACATGTTTCGGGAGAAGCAATGCAAAGCAAATAGGTTAAAACAAAAAAGGTGTCCTATATAAATAGATAAGGTTGATGTGATTTAATTTGAAGTGACTTAAACCTTTAAAGTGTGAAAGCATAACATCTGCCACCAGAGGACAGTATAATCAAATTTCAGTCGGATGTAGCTGAAATGGAAACACACACGTGCACTTTGAACACTTCCCCTTTTACATTTTCCACATTAAATTAAAACAATAACCCTTTTTAATGTTTTCCATTTATTTATTTATTCTAAATCAAGGTAAAGACACACATTTACAAAATATATAATGCATTTATTTGAAGTCTACTGCAGTGCGAGTGTCCACACGTGCGTTTCGGAGCATAAATATGTATGTATAAAAGCACGATGTACAAGGGAGTTTTTATTGTTATAGAAGCTCATAGGGGACTTTATTCAAACTGAAAAAGGAAAATGAAATTCTATAAATAAATATATAAATTCTAAAAAAGCATTATATGGAGGTTATTTTAGTGATTAGGAAAATGAAAATCCAATTTGCATTTTCATTTTCACCAAGTCATATCATGGCTGTATTTAAACTAAAATGGAAAGAAACTATTTAAAATATCTTATTTTCTTTTAAACCTAATTTACTGCACAGTGAATTATTTTCAAATTACATAAAAAAAGAAAATCCAATAAAAAAAAAAAGTGATTTAATTTTTCAGGTTTAATAAAAATGATAATAATAATAACTTAACGCCTTTCAGGGGACCCAAGTTCACCCAACAGAAAAACAAGAGTAAAACAAACAACAGTCTAAAACAGTCTAAAAGTATAATTTTAATAAAGTCCCCTACGGGCTTCCATAGGGCTCAGCTACACACGTCTATCGTTGTGTACAGACAGTTGTTGTGTATCTGTGTGTGTGTTATTTTGTGTATTTCTGTGTGTGTCTACAGCAGGTCCTGCTCCACCCACACGGTCTTCTTCTGCTCCTCCAGGATGCGCTCCTTGATGACCCTGATGAGGTCGTCGGGTCCCGCCCAGGCCTCCGGCTCCACGCTGCCGTACAGACACGGGACGCCCTCCAGCTCCTTCACTTTGGCCCGACACGACTTCACAAACCCGTCCTCCGACTCCACGCGCAGAGGCAGCTTCCTGTGTGGACAGGAAACAGGAAGGAAGCAGCTCTGCGGTGTGAGCGGTTGGTTTGGTAATGTTTGGAGCACATGATCTCTGTACAACACTGGTTTGTACTTTACTTATAAACGTGACAACAGCGCAGTGTAAAAACATTCGGTTGCAAGTCCTACATTTGAAATTCTACTTAAGTAAAAGGACATAAATATTGAAAGCTAATTATGCACAAAGTAACTAAAAGTACTAAATGTACTCTTTCAGATGCTCAATAAAGTCTTCAAGGGGATGAAGTGGGATTTGCATATGCACTAAAGATAATAATGTGTACACACAGATGAATGTTGTGTGCAATAGAATTAAAAAAGTGTTTTCCATGACTCCACTGGTTCGCTTGCTTTGTTGCGAAGTTCACTATATTTTACCTTATCATTCTTACTAATAAATGATGCCTTCAAGCAAATCCATGCAAAACTTCATAAATAAAAAGTTATAAGCAACCGGACTGACCAGTGAGGGTCTTTCATTTATTACAATTCATCTAATGATTGTGATCATATGATGAGTTGTGATGATTGATCATGTTTTGTATTTGAAATCAAAGTATCTACAACAGATACATATATATAAATATAAATATTTCCCTCTGACTTTACTTAAAAGTACAATAATTCCCTACTGGCTTTGCAGTTTAACATCATTTCTTAGTTTAAGAGCTGAGCAAAGAGGACCTTCTCCTCCTTGGAGGTAAAGTGTCATGAAAGAAGTGACGTGCTGGCCTTTGGAAAAAGGATGTGGTTTGGACTTGTGGGTAAATATGTGACAAAGACTGAGGTTTGTCGGGCTTACCGTAACTTCTTGACATTTTTATCACAGATCTTGACGTAGATGATGATCGGGTAGATTTCTCTTCGCAGGAGATCTTTGACGCAGCTCAGTTCCGCCTCCAGCAGGCAGTGTTTCCCCTGGTGGGAGAAAATGGGTTTTAAAGATAATACAGATACTGTGACGTGAGACATGTGTGTGGCATGATTGAAAACATAGATGAATACGCAACACAGATTTAGAAAGTAAATAGTGGTATCATAACAACGAGAAAGTCCCCTTTGACACTTTTTACTTAAATATTGTCTTGTATGGCTTTTGTAAAAAACGTAGGAATGTGTGGTCATTCAAAGTCAGCGTGATAAAGTACAGAAAGACAGTTCATATTTATTTTATAATAATACATGTGTTTGTTTCCCTGGCAGAAAAAAAAGAGGATAACTAACATCGAAAAAGTAATAAAGAAAATCAGCATTGGCAAAAGTGCTAATCTAAACATCGACAGACAAATCTGTTCTTGCTAGGCATGGGATTAGCTGGTGTGACATCAACATCTCAAAATGGCAGCTCCTGTACCTGTTATCTTTTTTCAGTGGGAGGAAGACGAGACATAACGTACAGTCTATGGTGTTCAC